ATGAAAAACATGTTATATAATTTTATTTGAGTCATGTCTGAGGATAAATTCTTAAGAGTCATTTTACCACATAAGTTTATACGATAACTTTTTAGGATTAAACAAAACTTTTCTTAAAAAAGTGCATTTTGGGAGTTCCATCACGAGGTGACAAACTACTAAAATACACAAACTAGAAAGAAGAATTCAAGAGATGTAAAAAAGAATGCTCATCTCAAAAACTCAAGAGTAGTACTGAATTTTAAACATTTTGCAAGCATGCCTTGTATAAGCAATAGACATATACAAATGTTGGGTACCATTTAACATCATTAAAAACATCTAGAGTTGTTCCCAAGAATTGGGGTAGAGGAGAGAAGGGCAAAAGTAGCAGAAGGATGTCACATTTTAACTCAAAATCTCAAGACTCAAGTTTATGAATCCTTCTTTTTATTATATATTAGTTATTTAGCCCAATTTTATTTGATATGGGACTTCTCACATTGTCTTATGTTCACTTCTCATTCCTAACAAATGTTATTAAAGCTAGGTTTCACCCGGGACCTGTAAATTTGTTATTGTGCATGCGTTTGAAGTCCAAAGATGGGATTAGCTCTGATTGCAATAGGGATTTGTGTGTGCCACACCGTTTGAAACCCAAAAATTGGGCTAGCCCCAAAAAAAAGTAAGGACTTAGTGCTTAGAGTGTCTTTGATATGTGGAGTTTGTGGACTCACATGTACACTTGAGGAGAAGATTGTTAGGTTGTCCAAGTGTGAGCAAATATAAGACGATGTGAGAAGTTTCACATCAAATAAAATTAAACTTAATAATTAATATATAATAAAGAGGAATAACCCATAAACTTGAGTCTTGATATTTTAAATTAAGATGTGGCATCTTTTCACCGCTCTTGCCTATCTCTCCTCTTCTCCCATTCCTGGACAATCACTCTCCATTACTAACAAGAGTTTTAAGCATGGAAGTGTTGAATCTAAATTAAGAAACTCATCCATAGACATTTTAATTTTTGAAAAATTAGAGCATTGAACATAACATCATTAATTACTTGAAATTTCTAGAGGTTAATGCATTGAATTATTAATTACCATTATGCATCGCAAAATTCTAAAACTTTGAACATTAAATTTGGTCAGTTAAAATATTTTTGAAATTTGTAAAAATATTTTCAATAAAAGAGAGCCCGACATCACATCTCATTCTAATACAACATATATGCACATTCACTCCTCTTTTTGGTTCATTTTATTTGTCCAAATTCTCCTTCTAGTCTTCATACATTAAGTCTTCTCAATCTCTGGGTAATGTGACGATTCTTTTGACTCACATAAAATTACAATATGAAGGTAGGGACCGATGAGTGAGAATGAAATATCTAGTGGTAAAATTCAATGTGGGTGAGGACTTTTTGAAGGGTACGTACCATATGCCAATTAATATCGTTTAGTTTGGCCCTCTTTTGAAATCAAAAAGGAAAATGGACCCCCATTTTGACACTGATCACTCATGTGAATCAACCATTCATGAGGTCCTACCATTTTGGTCTCCCTCTTTAAGTCTCTCCCCACTAACTCTGCCAATTCCTGTGAGTTTCGTTAAAAATAAATATATTTCTGTATAATCAATAATAAATTGATAAATAATAGTTGCCGATCGGAAAAAATAAATAAATAATAGTGAATTGAACGTGGAGAAGAAAAGCCGCGCTTATGAAAATTTCCATTCCTTTTCATTAGGTGACGTGGCTTTTTATGGACCGTCGATTATTTGAACCCAAAATGAGAGGATCCGCTTCACTAATTATTTGGGCTGGGCCACCCAGCAGGGTCGCCTTTTTTTAAGAAAAATAAAAGGTAGGGTCGACCAACTCACGTTCTTTTTGGTGAAAATTTAAAAAAAAAAAACCTAAAAATGCATTCGTTGAAGACAAAAAATAGAATATAAAAGGTATATTATATAAAGGAGGTACACTGGTTGCAAGGTATAACTAATATTGTGGATTTATGCATGTACGTAACCCTAGCAAATATAACGCTATAACCCTTTCTAACTAATTAGTTGTGTCCGATATAGCTTCTAAATACCGAGTAGCTTGATAAAAAGAAATAGCATTAGATGGAAGTATAACTGCAACATAACAAAGAAGTAATTGAAGAGAAAATGATGTGACTCACATATATAGAAACATATGGTATAGCACTCGTGTGCGTAGCCTTATCTTGATGAAGATGAGTTCATTGATGAGATCAAACCAATCCATATTCAAAGTACACAAAAGCATTCCGTGATCTCACTAAACAAACCCCTTTTCACCATTAAACTTGTGTCCCCTCCTTGATAGGCCACTTCTTTAATCTTCCCTTTCAATTCATTAGGTGACTCTTATTTATATTATATATTATCATTATTATTCCTACTCTTTCTCCCAACATTATCGGTTTCTACATAAAAAGAAGAATGAAGTCGTATGTAGATTTTGTATATTGCATGAAATTTGATATGAGGGTTTTAGACAAAAGATTCCAAACCCTATATCATTAAGTAAATATGTATGGGTGCATGCAAAAACAAAAGTAATAAAAGAAGAAGAAGAGAGGTCATGGTGGGTGTAGGGCGAACCACAGACACGGCAAGCCCACCACGGTGGTGGACCAGTGGGGGCGGCGGTGGCCACCGGGACCACAGAGAAAAGCTGAACCTCCACACAATCTCACCGGGACCATCCAAAATAATTAAAACCCCAACTTCCTTTTACGCATGAACCAACCATTTTTCTTTTATTTGCTTCTTTTTCATAAGTTAGATTTCAGATTAGATTAGATTCTTGTTGTTCATGGTTGATTATTGGTAATGGAATAGACAGATATGAAGAGTCAATGAACCTTGACCATGTTAACTCATGTGCCTTGGATATTGTTACCTGATTTTGTCTCTCGATAGTACTTTTTATTTGAAGCTTAAGACTTTAATTGATACCATCAGTTTGGTGGCCGTTCATGAATTTAATTGCATGCATGTTTTTGACTCTCTCGTGTGAAATTCGTGAGGTGCGGCCTCCTTCAAATATTGCGACTTGAAGAATTGAACTGAGTAACATGCTTCCAAATTTTGTTTCAGTAAGTGTACGTATCTGCCTATTCTTCACAGAGCATAATGTTCTAATTATTTTCAAAATTTTAAATAAACATCACGCTGCAAGGATTTGAATTTAATAAGTGGGGCAAAAAAAAATAAATCTAACCATTTATTTACGAACTCAAGGCACGGTGAAATAGTTATCAGGATAAATTAAAAGCATGACACTGTTTATTATTGTTAATTAAGAATAGGGAGTGACTACCTCAAATGTAAGGAAGAGAATAGATAGGCAAGAGTAATACCACATCTTAATTCAAAAACTTAAAATTCAAGTTTTATAAGTTTGTTTTTTTTATTATATATTATTTTTTAGTCTAATTTTATTTGATGTATGACTTTTTACATTAGTTAAGGCCAATTATATTTGGGTGATTTAACAATATCCTCCTAATAGTTTTTTGTAAAGTGTTTTTTTTTACTTACAAGTATTTTCTTATTGAAGATAATTCTATCTAAGACACAATCATACCTCTCCTAATAAGAATTTAAACATTAGTTTGCCACATTGTGAGACAATCACTCTCAATTGCTAATAGTCATGATTGGCTCTCCATATTGGTTTTTACTTGATGATTTGAATCTTATTGAATTCAAGTCCCTGATAGTACTGGCTAGTGCCATCCTTCTTGAGAATTATACAAAGATTCATACATCTTAACATTTTATCTCACATTTAATTAATTAAATTGTATTCATTTGTGAATTTAGATAAAATTTAAAGAGAGTACGTGCGTTTGCTTCTGTTTAGTGAAATATATTCCCCCTTGGCCAAGAGAGTGTGATTACATGCGGCACAAAAAAAAAAGAAAAGAAAAGAAAAGAAAATTTGGAGTAAAAATCTTATCATATTCATAATTTTTCTCTTTTCTCGTTGTCTCTTTCTAAATGCATGATTTGAATTGCATTGGTTTCCAAATTGACGTGATATATACTTATATTTAGGAATAAAACAAATCAGAGATCTAAAACTTATAAATAAGGATGGAGAAACTATTATGCGACACACTCCTTTGCCTATATTTGATGCAAATAATAATATAGTAGTAGTAAGTGTCTCCACCTTTAAATATAAAACAAACTACTAATCAGTTTAAACCTATTCAATCTAATTACAAAAATAAAGAAGGCACTAGTAATTAAAATTTTAAGAATTTAAATGAGGTTGGATTTAATAAAAGATGCTAATTTAATATTAAAATCTTCATTCAATGAGGTCCCCACATTAACGCCCAACTATATTTCAAATAAAATTATCCCTAATAAAAAAATACCTGTGAAAAACTTTAAAAAAAAATTGACCTATATCAAAGTAGATGTTTTTCTTTAGGGAAAAAAAAAAAAGTTCACCAACTCTGGTCCTGATTAGCCTTTTTACTCAATTTACCTAAATATTTTTTAAAAAAAAAAAAAAGTTCTCTTTACAGACGGACCATTATGACCCGCTTTTAAAGATTTGGGCTATGGGTTAATATAAGCCGAGACGGGTAATGGGTTGCAAAACAGAATCCATTATGCCTTGCTCGGGACAGGCCTTGAACAATCCATTTGGGCTACAGTGCTTTTGTATGAATAAAACTGGTTAATCCTTTAAGTTTATTTATTTTTCTTGGTTTTCGAATTATTTCCTTTTTAAAATAAATAAGCAATATTCAGTCTAAAGTACTCTCCCTTAAAAAAATATATAATTCACGAAGAGACTAATTTAATATAAAAAAAATTAAAACTACACTGAAATACAATATCACTTTCATTTTTGTCTTATATAAACTCTGTATACTTTAAAACTAAAGAAAGCAAAATGTAGAACCTGAAACTTATAGATGCTGGATAATAGGGGCATTGTGGCCATTAATTGAGTTCAAAGTAAAGGCTCAACTTTCGTGTCAAGTTAAACCCAAGTTTTGTTTCTCCTGCCACCTGTTAGTCCCATAAAATAGCAAAACCAGTACAGTCAAATCCACTATAAACATCCATGGTCAAATTAACACAGCAATTGCATGTTCCTATCCCAAAAAAAAAAAAACCCTAAAAGGCGCAAAAGGCAAAGAACAAAAGTGAAAAAGGCAAAAGGAAAAAGGAAATGCCAAGCAGTAATGACGATGAGGAGGAAATCACAAATATGGAGGAAGGTGAAACTAAACCCTCAAAAGGATCTGGTTTTTGTGGTTCTTCTTCCACAGTTCCAATCATACAGAAGGTATATATAAATTCATGCATGAACCTATACTTGTTACGTTTCATTGATGTCAATTAAAAAATAATGCAATGTTTGGTGGGTAGAAAAGTGTTTTGTTGAAAGGAAATGAGATATGTGTCTGTCCCATTTTCTTTCCAGATATATTTGTCGTTCCCATTCTAAAGAACACTTTTCGGTGCACCAAACATTGCCTAAGTGTCAAATTTATTGGTGATCAAACAGGTAATTGCGGAGGCAATAGGGACATACTTAGTGGTATTTGCAGGGTGTTGTTCAGTGGTTTTGAATGTGCTAGATGGGAGAGTGACGTTTCCTGGGGTGTGTGTCGTTTGGGGTTTAGCAGTGATGATCATGGTTTACGCGGTGGGGCACATCTCCGGCGGCCACTTTAATCCGGCAGTGACCGTCACGTTCAGCATCTTCCGGCAGTTTCCTTTGAGACAGGTGCCACTGTATATAATAGCGCAGGTGGTGGGATCAATACTAGCGAGTGGGACATTGTACATGCTGTTCGAGGTAGACGACGAGTCGTATTTTGGGACGTTGCCGTCAGGATCAAATGTTCAGTCACTGGTGATGGAGATCATCACTTCTTTCTTGTTGATGTTCGTTGTTTCTGCTGTTGCAACTGATACGAGAGCTGTTAGTCCTCTCTCTCTCTCTCTCTCTCTCTCTCTCTATATATATATATATATATCTTCCATTCCCTTTTTAATTTCTATTGATCTACTTTCTCATGCACTTCAATACTGTGTTCATTAATTGAAGTTTAGCTTAAATGCTTTCTTGTTTGCTTTATATCAGATTGGAGAACTGGCAGGAATTGCAGTCGGCATGACGATTGCTGTGGATGTCTTCATTGCTGGGTAACTAATTTAATTTAATGCAAATGTCATGTTATTTCATCATGGATTATGGAATATCTTGTATTACTTCTATTAATATATAATAAGAAAGTACTTATAATTTTTTCATGTGTCATGTGAAATGAGTCGCATTTTTCTTAAATTATAAATAGTGTAATGTTAAATATGAGTTGACTTAAGTTTACATGAAAAAACAAGAAATGTCTAGCATAGGGTCGCTAATCCCCCAACCTCTGCTGAGTGCATGTTTTATTTTCTTTTTTAATGGACCTACCTTTCAATAATTTTTCTTTCTTTTTTTTCTTTTCGTCAATAGATTTTATATAAAATCAGAAATATTTTGATATCTTAATTATATGGCGATGAAATGGTACATTTTTGCATTTTTTTTAAATTTTTTAAAGAAAATAAATACAAAATACACAAATTGTGGGTAAAAATACTTTGAAAAATCATTTAAAAATGAAAAATTGCATTGTTTATACTGAAATATCAAAATATGTCTCATTTTAAATAGAATCTATTGATCAAATGAAAAGGAATTGAAAGGTTGAATGGGATTAGACTCAAAAGGTATGCATATATCAAGAATAACTCATATTTTTAAAATTTTAAATTAAAATGTAACTCCAAGTGCATCAACTCAGTGATGTGCATCTAGCCATCTACCACACACTTATGATTTCTTTTTTTTTTTGGTTTTTGGGATATCCACACACTTGCGATTTTGAATTGACAAATGTATGATATTGATGTGAATGGCAGGCCAGTGTCTGGAGCATCAATGAACCCAGCAAGAAGTATTGGGCCAGCAATAATAATGAACATTTATGATTCCATTTGGGTGTATGTAGCTGGCCCCTTCATTGGCGCCATTGTTGGCGCCTTTGCCTACAGCCTCATTAGATTCACTGATAAGCCTCTCCGAGAAATCAGCAAAGCTCCTGGTTCCATGTTTAAATGCGTCTCCACTCGCTTGTAATAAATCTTTTCTCATCTTAATCCGTCATTACATGAATCTTTCCGACTTAATTTAGATGTAGTAGCCGTGAAATCCGTACAAACATAAGTGGGTTTCTCTTTTAATTTCATAGAGTTTCATCTTATTTATTTGTCATGTTGAGTTGAGAATAGTTATTAGACGTCTTTTCTCTTAGAATTATACATGTATAGTACTATTAAATTTTGAACTAGCCCCATGTATTTTATGTGTTAATTACTCACGTAATTTTGACATTAGTCTTCCTCAATGTCCTCTTAGAATATGATTATTGGTGAATTTTGATACTTTTTGAAAAAATACATTTGTTTGGATCAGAGTTTCAAACTGTCTTTGTTTTTTTTTTTTTTTGGGAAAATCAGGGACCGCTGAAAAATGTTATTTACAAACAAAGATAAATAATAAATTACCATTCAGAAAACAATAAATCATATTTTTATTTTAATAATAATCAATTTTTTTATTGATTTTTGTCTACGAGCAACATTTTTCAACAGCCCTTGTGCGCTATTCTCCCTTTTTCTCCTTTCTGTGTATTAATCTTTCAAATGTTTGGTAAAATGGGGATTTAGCAACAACTCTAGTATTAAAAAACAACATATATAGACAAACATATGTACTTATACGCCAGAAAACATGGATGGAAATCACATGAGATAGAGAAAGAAGGAAGTAAAGAGAGGTCTAAATCAATGAAGAAATGTGAAGGATGTGGACCTTCAAATTTATTGATAGTTTATATATAATATATGTGATATCATTGAGATGCCATGTGAGTAGGGCACTCAAGGCTTTTTCTTTCCATGGGATTATTGTCTTTCACAAATTAAACGTAGTTTCCTCCAATATGCTATTTTGTTTGGATCCTTATAATATATTATTTTTTATATACAATTATCTAATATCAAATATTATTAGATCATATTTGAGTATTGACAGGTTTAAAGATATAACTTTTCAACAAAAATGTTTTCTATATTTATGCAAAGTTAAATTCAAGGTCTTGTATTTGAATAACCATAACTTTTTTTTCACTTATACGATACAATTCAAGTTTGAAAGGTTTTGAATTGATTAAATTCATATTAAAGACTTTAGTAGAATAAAATATTAATATGCAGGTTGAAATCGTAAATTTCTTACATACTAGTTTACTCCAACATTTGTGCGCCTTCTTCTCTCGGTTCAAGCAAAACTCAATTGATATGATAAATAATAATGTGCGGTTTATACGAGTAACCACTAATACTAAATATTGAACAATTTACTTGTTATCCTGTTACCAAATATTTAGAACTTGGCTTGCCTATTCTAAAACAGAAAATTGAATTAATTATAATCACTTTATGCATGCAGATGAGATAATTAAATATCAATTTCAATTATTAAATGAAAATTAGGTAGACATGCTAAGATTAATCTGGCAAAAAATAAAAATAGAGAGAGATGCTGAGATTTAGGGCATCAGAAGAGTTGCATTATAAGTCTACAACATTGTTACCTTCTAAGAACATTTGAGAAATGTTGTTGCCTGTACTTTTAAACAATATTTTTAATTTCTTGCCTAAAGCATCATGACTAAAAGCCAGTGGCGATAATTTATTTACTCTATGGCCATATTTCAATAAAATTGTTGCCTATACTATGAGAATAGATTATAATTATTATCTAACTATACATAATATTTTTAAAATGTTACTTATCACATAAAATAGATAACATTTAAAAATCATTACAAAATTAGTAAATAATTAAAATTTAATTTTTTTAATATTGTTTATCATATAAAATAGATGACATTTAATAACTATTGTGAAATTGTTAAATAATCAAAATTTAATATTTTTTTGTTCAGTTAACAATGGAATGTTGAACTTCTTGAAAGAAAGGAATGACTTTAAGAAAAAGTAACCTTGTCTCTTGATGGATTATGTGTAAAAGCTGTGTCTGTAGATCATAAGACAATTTTAATCTTAAATTATAAGTTGAGAAAAGTCTGTAATCCTAAATTTATTTTTGGCACCATTTTTCTCTTAATTTTTTTAAAACAGTGCAATACAGTGTCACATTTACAATTAATAAAAGTTAAGTCGTTTGTTGACAATAAAATTAAAAATGATCTCAAAAATTTTAAAAAAATGGACAAAAAATTCTAAAAAATAACCCAACAAATTACACAAAAAGGATAAAAAAAATTGGGGAAGTTTCAACTAAGGATCAGGGAAAAGAATATTTACCGATGGATCCTGAAAAAAATCTAAAAATTTTTTACAATTTTTTGGATTGAACTGAAATAAAGATGATGGTTGAAAAGATCGAAATGCCCATATGTAAAAGAAAGAAAAAATAATTAACAACAAAAATTGATAAATTAACGAGTAAAATTAGAGAATTAACAATTAATGATTTCATATTTTGAACAAAATGATTGAACTGGTGTGATTATTGACAAGTAAAGTCATGTAATTTATAACTGATATTGATAAATTAACAAGTAAAAATTAGATAGTTAACAACTAATAATTCTACATTTTAAACAAAATGATTGAACTAGCTAATATGATTATTGACAGGTAAAGTCAAGTAATTTACAATTGATATTGGCAAACTTACAAGTGCTAATGTGGTGCTTTTCTGTCAAATTGAGTGAACAACTTTCGTTAAAAATTTACAAGTCAAGTTAAATAGTTAACAAGTCATGTAGATAAATTAATAAGTAAGGTTATGAAATTAATAAGTAATGTTCTAAAGATTATGGAGCCACCAAATTAACTAGTTAACTATTTAACAAATATTATTAAGAAATTAACAAGTACAAGTAAGCAATTAAGAAGTAAAGTTTAATAGTAACTACGTAATGTAATTGACTTTAAGAAGTTTTAAAATGAACTTGTTTAGAATGAACTTGCCATATGTATTGCTGAAACATTATTTCAAAGTTTTAATAACTAACATAAAGAAAACAACAAGTGATGTAAAGTCATTAACATATAACATTTATACATTTATGTGCTTGATAAAAAAATTTATTTGTTAATTTTACAAAAGGGCATTTTGGCTTTTTTAGTCACCAATTTTATTTCAATTCAATTCAAAAATTCTGCAAAGAACTTTTAATTTTTTTTTGAGATTCACAAGTAAATATTTCTTTTTCCTAATCCTTAATTGAAATTTTTCCAAAAAAATTATGTAATTTTTGAAATTTTTTATAATTTTTTGGTCAACTAAATTAAAGTTAAAATTTATTATCATTTTAAAATTTTAAGAGAAAATATTGTATCAAAAATGAATGAAACTTATAAATTTATAGTTTCAGGGCAAGTAATTTACATATTATATATATATATATATATATAGAAATAATGGTTTGTGCTTACTCATAATTTTAAGTATGATCTGAAATAACATGATTAATAAAAGATTCTAGAGTTTATAAGTGAGAACAACTCACTTTAAATTTAATATAAGTTGACAATGAACGAGCAATTAGCAGGAAGGAATCTATAGTGTATAATATTGGGCACAGTCAAGGAACAAATGGTTTGCTGAAAATTTCATGCAATGGATCTAGAAGCGCGTGTCATGAATGGGAGTGAGTTACCGGTGGAAACTGGGCGGTGGTCGAACCCCTTGGTGGACCCCACAGATGGATGGGTCCACCTCTCTAGCTGGGAGACAAGCCCTCCTCAATCACGTGCACTCGCAGGTCGCAGCTTCCTTGTTGGTCTCAATCGCCACTTCTTTCTTCTTATTTTTTTCACTCCAATAGCAACCCAAGTAGTAATGATAATAAATTAATAATATATGCTTCCCGTTAAATTACAATATACTTTCAAATTTCGATTGTATTTTATATATTAATAAAACTAATTATTTTTTATGAAATGATAATAATATATACTTCCTCCTTTTTAAATTATAAAATATTTTTAAATAAAATTTTATATATCAATAAATCTCATTAAATACACTTGAAAACCTTATCTTTTCAGAATAAGAATATAAATTTTTAAAAATACTCATTATTTAATAAATTAAAAAGAAAAGGGATCAAAATTAATTATAGAGAGAGAAAGGGTAACATTAAAACTGTGCATTTAATAAAATTTTAATCTATTCAAAATTTAAAGTGTCTTATATATTAAAATAAAAAAACTCTTTCAAAAGTTACATATAATTTGGAACGGAAGGAGTACTTTTCGTTAAATTATAAGATGCTTTTAAGTTTTGATATATTTAATATACTAATAAAATTAATTATTTTTACTTTCATAAAATTTCTTTTTGTTCTTAATATATTTATTGTGAAAAGTAGGAAAAGTGTTTAGTCAAATTATATTTTTCATGCCCATGTTAATTAATTCAAGAATAAATTTATAAAATTAATGATTAGTTGCTCTAGCGTTAAGCATATCCCTCTCTTTTGAAAGAGATCCTGAGTTTAAATCTAAGGCTCAAGATGTGTTGTATGCATGCATGGGTGGATGCATGCGTTCCTTTAAGAAAGAACTAGATTAAAGATAAATTTATAAAAATAATTTTAAAAAGTATTACATATCCTACATTTTGGAGTAAATTTAGCTGAATTGATTTCACAGAAATCGTTCGAGGAGGCTAAAAAAATTAATAAAGGTGAAAAGTCTAAAATGATCATACCACGAGAGTCAGGAAATGCTTGATCAGTTGGCAAGCCTATACATTTATTAGTATCTCTAAAGTCATGGTTGAAGACAATCGAGTTTTGCAAAACAACATAGATAATACAACAAGGACTCGCTATTGATGAGGGCAAAAGCATCAAAAGAGTCAAATAGTGGTTGTTGGCAATGAGACCCATGGGATCGAATTTGAAATTTCCGGATGGGTCACTGTTGCTTAGATCCCAAGTCCCATCATCCGCACAACATGTTTCGGTTTCCCTCACGGCTAGGAGTGAGCATTGATATTTAGTTCCCAACAATTATCTAATTAAAATTTAACAATTTGATTCAATCCGTTAATTTGGTTTTGAATTTCATGTTAAGTTCTTTGAATTTGAGATAATTTTTTTATTTTTATTTTTTACTAAAACAAGCAAGACTTGTATATAAAATTAAACTTGTAAAATAATAATAGCTC